GTCACAACCCCGGACCCCACGTACTCCCCGCCCGCCCCCATTCGCCTCCACCTCATACCTCCCCAAACTCTCCTGCCACCCCTGCCAATCAAACCCCTCGTCCATGTTCATATCCATATCCTCAGCCGCCGCGCCGCCGCCCAGGCTCGGCATGCGCATAATATCGGGCGAGCCCGTCGTCGGCCAGAGCCAGGGCGGCAGATTCTCTTCTGCCGTCGCAGCAGCAGAGACTGGGTGGTTACTTAGAGGGGTGGATACCATTTGTTGTTGTTGTTGGGATATGTGATTCGGGACGACGGCGGACATTGAACGGGGTGGGAGTTGTTGTTGGAGGTGGTGGTCAGCGGTTAGGGGGGTGGTGGTAGTTTGGTCGAAGGCAAGGGTGTTGCTGCCGTCGGTGGGGTAGGCGAAAAAGGCGGCGCGGGCGATTTCGTCGGGGGCGCCTGAGTTCCAGAGAGGCATGAAATCGGTGGGGATGAAGGCTGAGTTGGCCATAGCGGCGTCGAGGTATTCCATGAGTTCGGGTTTTGCGAAGTCCGGGGCGGTGTTGGGGTGGAGGGTGTTCATTGTGGGTTGTACGGGCTGGCTTTGGGTTCTCATTAATCCTCGTTGTTGCAGGTGTTGTTGCAATTGGGGCTGCGGTGGTTCTTGCGGTGGAGGTGGTAGGTTCAGCAGCTTGCGCCAGCGTTCCAGGGCCATCGCGCCCTTCACGGAGCTTGGGATGGCGCTGAAAGTGGCGGGGGCAGCGGCCGACTTGTCGTGCTGCTCCAGCTCGCGCGCCGCCTGCAGGTCTGCCTGCAGCCGGGCAATCTCGGCCTCGCGGTGCTTCTTCACCTTGAGATACAGCTTTCTAAGCGGCATCCACACGGCGTGGTGGCTCGCGAGCCTCTCCAACTCGGCGGGGTTGGGCGACTGGAAGGTCAGGTTGAGGGCAGCCCAGGCACGCTCAGCCTTGGGACCCCATGCGCGGTGCGAGACCTCAATGAGGGTGTATGCGAGCGCGTGCCAGTGGCTCCAGGTCTGAAACAGCCAGCGCCACTGCTTGCATCGCGGGTCAGTGTTCAAAATGTGGCTGTACTCGAAAATGTCCAGAGCAGCATTGAGGAGGCGCGCGCGCAACTCTTCCGAGAGCACATCGTTATCGGGCCCGGGGAAAAGGACGGGCTGGTAAATGATCAGTGTCATCTTGGCGACAATAATGCGAGTAACATTGGAGGACACCCAAAAGATGGGGTTCGAGCTGTCCTTGAGAAGCCGCTGCTCCACTCGCCTGTGGACGTCCACAAGCAGTGCCTCACGCTCGGCGAGCGACCGAATGATCTCGTCTGGAGAGCCGGGCGCCATCGGGGATAAGGCGTGCAAACGCCTGGACAAGCCGCAGATTTCGTAGCGGATGAGCGAAAAGGCCATGTCGGTGGTGCCCTCTCTCGGCTCCGGCAAAAACGGGCTTTCCGGAGAAATATCGGTGTCGTTGATGTTCAAGGGAATATGGGTGTCGTACGATCCGTCGACGATGGTGAGTTCAGCGCCTTGGTCTTCGGCAGATCGCAAGTCAAGGACGCAGATGGCCCAAAAGAGGCGTCGGCGCATCTCGATCTGGAAGGGCGACAAATTGGGGAAGTGTGTCCCGTCGCGGTGGAGGCCAAGCGCATGGCTGAGACGGATAAGCAGGCCGGTCAGGGTCCAGGCGAATCTGGTGTCGTCATGGCGGCGAACAATTACGAGGAAAAGGAGGAAGGCCTGCAGTACGGTGAAATCGGGCTTGACGAGAAACTCGGCCTTGGCCAGCGCCTGCTCGAGGGCGAAACGGTATTTCTGGACCAGGGCACTCTTTTCGGTGCCAAAGTTCAATTTAACCTGGGAGTGTTAGCGGTGATGAATTCCCACTCTGAGGTGATGACACATACCTCATCCTCGTCCAGCGAGGTGATGGAGGCATAATAGATAGAAAACATTAAGGCTTCAGTAGAGGGTGTGAGGCCGTCCAGGTTGTGGCGCAATTCTTTGATACTCTTGCTCATGGTCGGCACGTGGACGACCTTGAGTATGGGGTCGACATTTTCCTGGTAGACTTGCCAAATAAAGGGAATCTGCGATGGTAGAGGATGGAGGGGCCTGAGGTCAACGTCGGCGGAGCGGTAGCCGAGAAGGAAGGAGTGGTGGTCCATTAGGCTTCTGTCGTGGTCGGCGGACTCGGGAGTGGCATCGGCGTCGGACAGGTCTGAATCCTCGTCGGTGAGGTGCTGCGAGGCCTTTCGAAGTTCGTCGAGCTGTGACTTGTCAATATCCATACCGGTGCCACAGAGAATGCGATGTACCTCGTCGGTGATGGAGGACCACAGCGAGCTGCTGACATATCTCGTGACACCTTTCTCATTAAGAACGAGACGGCCGAACTGCTTGTGGACATCGGGCGACGCCTTGCCAAACGAGTCGGGCTCGGACATGGACCCTGACGTCGGCCTTGTAGGTAGCCTCGAGCCTGGCAGGCTCGGCGACTCGAGGCCGCCGGACATTCCAGGGGCCGTCGCGATGCGGGAACCGATGGTATGGTCGTCCCTGGGGTATGCGGACCCCGCCTCGGGCGAGTTTCCGGCGCTGTACGGGGGACGGACCGACTCGACTTCGATCTGGCCACTGAGCTCCTCGACGATGCCCTCCAGCTTGCGCAGGCGCTTCATGAGCTCCAGTTCGCGCTCGCTCGAGGGTTGCTTCGTCGGCGCATTGGGGTCCTTGGGCCGAGGTCGGCGAGGGGCACGGCCCGGGGCCGGGAATATGCAGGGTATTTGGGCGCGGCGGCAGTTCGAGCACGGCATGTGCTTGTCGCAGCGGACCTTGTCCAGTTAGTCAGGAGATTCAGCAGTGCTGGGACGGAAAATGAACCTTTCTCCTTCGGCAAGTGACGCAACTGCGCGGGTTCAGAGCGGAAGAAGGGATGGCGGTGGGCGAGTAGACGGAGGCGCCTGGCGGGGGATGGCGGGCGAGGGCCATGATCTGCTGGGCATCGTAGCCATCCTGGGCGCTGGAGATAGAAACGGCGTCTGCTGCGCGCGGGCTCTCCTCGGAGGCGAGAGCCCGCGCGGCAGAGTTTCCTTCCCGGGCATGGCGGCGGCGTGGGTGGGGAGGAAAAGGGGCCGATGTGGGATGTCTGGAGTGATCAATGCGCGCGGATGGCGGGGTCTGGACGACACGGCTGCGGCACGGCGGGAGGCATAAGAGCGTCGGGCGGCGGTGTTGTCTGGCACGTACGAAGTCTTTGTCGCTGTCAATGTGGGCGCGCAAGCCTGTGAGGTGGCGGCACGGCGGGCATGCGGGCGTCGTGAATCAGGGGGTCGTCGGTGTCGAACTGTCGATGAGTTGATTTCGGGCAAAAGAGATGGAAGCCCTTGCTGGACAGTGCCAATTCTTGGTGGGGCCATCTACAGCGCCAAGACCTCAAAGCTCTGCTGCCCCGCTGACCGGAATGGGCCCACTGGTCGATGTTCCTGCAGCCGAAATTCAACGTTTCCACTTGCAACTTTTACTCTCAACTTTCAAGGAAATTCTATTCATGGGTGGCATTTTCCGTTTATCTGTACAGATAGTGGTCTAATTTGGTTGCCAGTGTATTTACTCTACTGAATTTACAATTTACAGAAAGAGAAAGCTCTCAAAGTAACTACATGCACAACGCCACCGAGACGCGCACAGGGTCACAAGTCACAACCTCTGCTGCGACCTCGGCCTGGGCTGACTTACACCATTCCACCTCCTCAATCCGGGGTCGCCAAGCAGCTTCATCTGACACCATGGCTGGGCAAGGCTGTCAAAGAGCAAACGGGATGACGTGGGAAATCTCTTCGTATTTTTACCGCCTCTACTTACCCCTGCCGGCTGTTTCCACCGAATGTTTGGAACCATGCATCTGGGCGAATGGCGGTATGGCCAATTCTTCTCACCAAACAACTACAAATTATAGAGATTTAAACCACCCTCCACTGCTTCCACCCTTCGCGTTCAGGCAATGCTCGGAAATCTTTACATACATCGATTATTAGGCCGACAAGTCTTTGTTTCTTAGTTGCTAACAGAGAAATCCATTTGAAATCCGGCGTCGTCAAAACTCAGAGTCAGTGTGGGTCGCCGCGGTTGTCTCGATCAAGGCCTCAATGTCGGGATGATCCTTGAGCACGTTGACAACGGGCAAGAAAACTTTTGTCTCCCCATCCTGACCGGCGACAGCGGCCCTGACGTCAGCCCAGCTCTTCCACGTCCAGGACTCGCACTTCTCCGGCTCCATGACCTTTAGCCGAGTTAGCAACGCACCGAGGCAAAGCAGAAGAAGACACAAAACAGACCTTTGGCTGTTGAGTCTCATCCACTCTGCGACACAACACAAAGATAGTGATGTAGTGTTTTGCCGGACCAAAGACATCATTCGTAAGCGCCAGGAACTTCTCAGCCCTGACAGCAAGCCCCGTCTCTTCCAGCGTCTCGCGGACGGCACAGGCAAAGTAATCCTCGCCAACATCGAGGTGGCCGCCAGGGAATTGCAGGTGGCCTATGCCGGTGTCAGCAACCGTCCGAACCGACGCAGCGGCAACAACCAAGTTTTGAAACAATAGCAAGCCGGCTACTTACCGTGGCCGTGCGAGCCTTTCCGGATGCCGACGATGACTCTACCGTCGGCATCTGGAATTACAGCCGCTACGCCGACGCGCACCACGGGGGTCTGGACTGTCATTTTGTGAGGATAGCAGTATTATCAACAAGCACCGCCAGGAGTTTCACAGCCTAGATCTGCAAAACCCCAGAAATACGATTGTCGTTCCGATTCCACTCAACAACGGGCAGCGACTGGGCCATGACTGCTGAGTCACGCCGGGCACCGCTGTCGACATCACTTCTAACAGCTGCCGCCAACTGGTGATGAATTTATGGAGGGGACCCACAGCCTGACTCAGTAAGTTTAACCAATCCCTATCAAAGGTAAAGTTTGCTCACGTGAACCAACATCCGTTGCCCGGCTGGCGCAATCGGTAGCGCGTAAGACTTCTATTTAATCCTAACTCTTGCAGTTGGTCGATGCCATCTTAAGGCTGTGGGTTCGAGTCCCACGTCGGGTGCTTTTTGTTTTTTTCCATGTCTACAGCCCTTTGCAAGTTTTTTCCCCCGTTCTCATTGTTCCCTTTTAACTCGATGGCTGAATGATGCTTTCTAATTGCTGGATCCCCTCTCCGGATTGCTGCCGCCTGCACAAACGGTTCCTGCAGCCAGTCACGTCCGAATTAGTCAATTTGTAAACAACCGGGTATCACCCCTTTCCCCCTTTCCCATCCCCACAACTCCCCGCCATTACACAACACAAACCATTCGCTTCTAAACGTCCTGTTCCTTCATTCTATCATGTCGCCCGCATAAAACTCATCCCTCATTACAAATAAAACAATGCTAGTCATCAACCAACCCCTTCATCTGTACATCCATGCTTGTCATCCTTTATCATTCCCCAGTCCATGCAACATCCCTTAAGAGACAACCTCTCACCTCAACCCGCCCGGCCCCTTCTCCACCACAAACCGCACCGGCTTCCGCGCCCGCCTCATCGGCGCCCCTTGGGCGGAATCACAGGCCTCATCACCGGCCCGGGCCCCATCGGCCCCTTCACCCCACCCATCAACATCATCTTCTGCTGCAGTCCACCGCCAACTCCCCTGCTCCCATCCTCCCGCCCTGTGCCTGCACCTGCGCAAGCTTCATTCCCGCCGGCGACCCGCCACCACCACCACCATGTCTCGAAAACCCCATATTCCACCCCCTCTTTCTCCTTCCCACCCTCATACTGCTGGTACTGATTTTTGTGTTTCCCCTCCCACCCAGACCCTCCCTCCTCTTCTCACCATCATTATTTATTTCTTGATACCCAACCCTCTCATCAAATCCCCACCTCCCCACTCCTCCCCCACCCACCCCCAAATTCTTACACTGACTAACATCCACCCACTCCAACCGTCCACACCCTCCAGCACGTTCTCCACCCCGTTCCCCGTAACCCTCACACACCCCCTCACACTTAAACCCCTCAGCTCATTCAAATGCAGTGCCACACACCCCAAACTCGCATCACTCACGGCACTGCCACAAAACGCCATCTTTAGCTCCCTCAACATCGGCAGGCCTAAGCTAACCACCTCTGTCGCGGTATCGGATAGCGCACAGCAGAAACTCAGATCGAGATGCGTCAGGTTCTTCGCAGCCGTCACTAACGCTATCACGGCGTTATCCGAGAGATACGTGCAGTCCGCGAGACAGAGATGGGTGAGCTCCGTGAAACGGTAGGGCGCCCAGGCTGCGAAGCCCGCGTCTGTAACGGAGGTGCAGCGGGTAAGACTTAGAGATTGGAGGCGCGGGGAGGCGTGGGCTGCGAGGTGCGCCATAGATCGGTCGGTTATGTGTTTGCAGTAGGAGAGGTTGAGGCGGCGGAGGCGGGGCAGCCGATGATTGCGCCTGGAGCCGGGGGTGGGGGTGAGAGGGGGTGCGGTGGTGGGGGTAGGTGGTGCCGGGAGCGGCGGGTTTTGGTGGAGGAGGAGGAGGAGGAGATGACGATGTTGGAGGTGCGGGTGGAGGGGTTGGTGGTGTTGGTGCTGGAGGAAGGGGGGTTGGGGACGACCCAGCCAACGACGCGGGCTAAGAGGTTGTCGCCGACTTTGCGGCAGTTGCTCCAATCGACTTCTTCGAGGCCCTTGGCACACTCGCTCATTTCGAGGATTTGGGAGGCGGACACGTCCCAGACGCTGCGCATGCGCCAGATCTTGACGTTCTTGCCGCAGGACTTCCAGAGCGCTTGGAAGCCCTCGTCGGTGATGTGGAAGCAGTTGCTTATGTCCAGCTCGACGGGACGGGGGCCGATGAAGGGCGCGAGGATGTTGACCAGCGCCCAGTCGTTGACTTTGCGATTGAATGGGCTGAGGTTGACGTGTGTGCAGAGCTCGGGCCGCGTGGTCAGCAGCTGGCGCCATTTCCGGCAGATGATTCTAAGGCGGATGAGCTCGAGCAGGTCGAGGTGCTGGAACACGGCCACCAGGAGATTGTCGGGGAGGGCTGCGCGTCGTTTTCCGCCTCTGCCAGTCTCAATATGTTGTGGGATAGTACGCGCGCGTTTGGTAGGTAATGGCGAGTCGTCAAGCGAAACGGGCGACAGCAGCGGGGGAGCTGCCATGACAGGCGGTATCTTAATCCCGCCCACAATGACACTCGAGTCTGTCTGCGGCGCCGGTGGCGCGAGCGAGTTGCGCCGCCTGTTGCGCAAGTTCTCCATGTTGACACTCAGAAACGGATCAGGGTCCGACGGACGACGGACCTCCAGTTCCGCTGTCGGCGATGGAGCCTTTGACGGCAAAGTAAAACTAACAGTAGGACCAGCCTTTTCCTCCGGCGTTGGTGACTTGCCCTCATTCTCATCCTCGTCCACATCCTTCATCTCGACGTCCTCATCCGCGGCGTGTAGACGCTGCTTCGCGGTCTCCTCCACTGACGATTTGACCTCGGGCGGGCATCTCCGCCACAGCTCTTCGAGCGCCTCGCCGCCAATGACAAGGCATTCTACTGTCGTAACCGACCGCACCGTGGCCGTTCGCCCTTCAGATAGACCGAGACTTGCCACTTCACCAAAGTACTGCCCCTGCTTTAAAATTGGACGCAGGTCCTTCATTCGTGCTCTTCTGAACGTGGTCGGGCTCGGAGGATCTTGCACCACCTCGGCCTCGCCGCGCACAATGAAGAAGATGTCGTTGCCAGGGGCGCCCTGCCGGACGATTTCGGTAAACGGAGGGTATGACTTGGGCTGGGCGCTAAGTCCGAGGAAGTGCAGAATGTCCGGGGGCAGTGTCGCGAACAGTGGGAGCTCTTTGAGCGTCTTCCGGACATTGACGTAGCCGCTGCCGAGAGCGCTCCCGCTGATTGCAGGGTCCTCGACGACCCCAGGACTCGGTGACTTGCGCTTCTTGGTGTTTACCACCACGCCCTCCTTGATGACTCCGACATCTCCCGTGCTAACCTCACCGGGTACTGCCTCCCGCGCGAGATTGCCCGCACTAGCCTCTGGTAGCTTGGGGAGCTGACCTCCTTCATGGCGCTTCTTCTTAAGAATGGCCAGTCTTTCTTGCGCCTCCTGACGGATGGCCTTCTCCATCTGAGGAAACTTCGGAAGTTCAGCATGGAGATCCTCCTTCTTGAGCACGACCAGCAGGCATTTTGTTCTTGCAATAATGGTGGCCGTCCGTGGCATGTCCATGAGCACGCCAATCTCGCCAAAGAAGGCGCCTGGTTTGAGCTCTGCGTAGACAGCTTCGCCGTCCCGCGACGTGACGGCAACGACGCCGCGGACCAGCCAGTACATCGCTTTCGCTTCATCGCCCTCGGTGAGGATGTGGTCGTTTGCGGAGTGGATCTGAGGGCGTAAATGGGCGCCAATTGCGGCAAGGAAATCATCCGGCGCAGACAGGAACAGGGGGAACGATCTTATGCGGTCGACTAAATCCAGGGGCATGTCCGGGATGATGGAGGCCGTCAGCGGCGACGGCCGCATGGGCCTCGTCGGGTTTGTTTCGACATTGAAGGTTCTGAGGACGGACGAGACCGAGTCGCGCGCTTGCTGTCCCGCGGCTTGGTGGTGGGCCAAGGCACGGTATGGCGAGGCCGCCGTCGGCGTTCGGCTGCGCCGCATCGCGTCTTGAGCTGGCCGGGGGGGGTTCGTTTCTGCGGTGCCCAAGGTGTGTGGTTTCTGATGCGAGGTCTGGAACGCCACCACCGGCCGAATCAAGGGTCAATGGAAGTTGTACTGGTGACGTCTGCTGCTGTGTAGCCCCCCTGATTTTGGGAAGCCGGCTAGATCGACACTGTTGGTAGATCTTTCATGCTATGCTAGGAAACGACAGGTTCCCCGCACGGATTTCTGGGATTAGTTTTCTGCGCTCGCTTGTGTCCCGTATTGTAGTATCGCAGCAAGAGTTGTCCCGTCTGTGCGCGGTAATAGGGGGAAGCTGTATTGGGCCGTGAGGGTACGGATTAGGGGCGATTCAATAACGGTTGTTTGGGAGTCTACGCTTCTTGTTTGCGGCGTTTGTCGGTGTCACCCAGGACGCTGCTCGAGAGAGGCGAATCTGCTGGAAAATTCGGTCAGTTTGCAAGTCTCGAACCGAAACGGGGTGCTCGCCAGCACGCTTACATGGTGTGTATCTGGAGCGCCCAGACACGTGTGGATGGACAGATTGGAGATGCCAGGATGTGGGGCCAAGCGCAGCCGAATGGTCGAAGAGAATTGATCGTGGAATCAGGAGGTCGGTCGGAGGGCGTGTGGGTGAGGTTTGCGACACTTCTTCCAGGCGCGTATGGTGTTGAGGAGTAGTGAAGATGTCTCGCGTGGATGGAGAACGTGGGGTCCGGCGGGAGTCCACAACACAAGCGCGGTGCGACGTCACGGCCGCCTTTGACGTCGCAAGGAGGACGAGCTTGAGCAATCAACAACGGGCAGGGTTGAGGCCAGTTCAGACCATGGCGGTAAAGCGTGGGAGACGGGAAGCGGGAGGGAGCAGAAAGGCGGTCGGTCGGATAGCTGCTGCCGGCAGACCAAGCTGACCTGGATCAGACGTGATCGTTGTCTTTGCCGTGTGGGAATTGCGACATGTGCGCGCGGGGCAGTGGGCGTGGCGGCAGCCCTGCGCGGAGCTTGATCGCCCGGGAATATGGTCGGGCGGAGATGACCCCTGAGGGCAGGGCGCAAATATCGCGACTCAGTCAATGGGCGCAGCTCGTTTCAGTCATGGCGATGTAATGATGGAGTCGGCGGGGGACACTAAGGACACTACCAAAGCTCCTGCCATTCGCGCCCAAGCTCGGCTTTATCAACGGCCAGGGTCGCTGCGGGGCAGGGGGCGCTAGTATTACAAAGTACAACGTACGGTAACATACTCTGAGGGAGAGACAACCTCTCCTGTGAAATTGATCACCCAGCGCATGGCAATCGAAAGGGAGCGCAAATTATTGGGCAAACTTCTACGATGCAGGAGGTGTTTGAATTTTGAAAAATCTTTTTTTTATTTACCAGTTCTGCAGGTCGATCAATGTG